CCCCCTCCACCCTGCACCCGTGCCCCCTACCTTCCAGGCCTTCCCCACACTATTGTCTGTGTCCATGGGTTATGCATATATGCATATAAGTTCTTTGGTTAATCTCTTCCCGCCTCCCCCCTCTTCTGAGATTCTTCAGTCTGTAGGTAATTTTTTTTGGTCTGGGAATGCTGAAAATTTTTCCATATAAATTAATGGTAACTGCTTTTTCATGTTACGCCATTTCAACTTGCAAAACGTTTCATAGGAACACTCTACTTTTGGATGGCGGGGGAACCTGCAATTTCCTCTTTCCTGAAGTCATGAAAGTAAACTTGTTAATGAATGCATTCCTTGAGGAACAGAGTATTTGTGGTCATGCGAGTTATGGGAAGAACCATTTAAAGTGAATCTCTGCCTAAAGCATCTCCTTCTCTGGAACCTGTCCATTTGTCCATGTATCTGTCATAGTTACCAGACATAGGAAAGGAGGAGGGGGAGGAGGGGAAGGGGAAGGGGAAGTAGTCATTCATTCCTGTGTAACCTTAGGCATGTCACAACCTTCCAGAACCAGGCCTACACAGTACAGGACACGGGTGCTCAATAAATGCCTGTTGAATGAACACCCTGACAAACTCAGCTTCCATTGCTCCAAATACAAAATGAGAAACTAACTTACCATTAAAGTACCTACCAATCCCAAGAGTCACGTTTTTCCCACAAGACAATACAAAAGAATACAAACTGTATACATTAGTTCAATTTATTAATTTAGTCTTATCTAACACATCATTGTATTTGCTCTTCAAAAGGAAAACAAAGTATAAAACTATAAAAAGTAATCCTGAAAATTATATAAATTTTTTCCAAAGCATCATATTAAATATGGACCTTCAAATTGACATTTGCCACATGGAATCAAAAAAATATAACGGGTGAAAAATGAACATTGACACTGAAGCCAATTATTCACTGTCACAGTTGTACAATTCAGTGGCATTTAGTACATTCACAATGTTGTGCAATCCACATTATCTGGTTCTAGTATATTTTCATCACCAAAAGGAAACCAGTACCCATGAACCGTCACTTCCCCAGCCCCTGGCAACCATTAATCTGATTTGTCTCCATGGATTTGCCTATTCTGGATTTCGTATAAATGGAATCATACAATATGTGGCCTTTTGTGTCTAGCTTCTTTCACTTAGTATGTTTTTCAAGAAAAACCACATGCTTTCGCATTTAACACTTATGTAAATCATGAAAAAGATACAATGACATCTGAGGTAAGTGAATGAGGCAGTGCAATTACCTTTCAGAATGCAATTCAAGTTTTCAGGACTGATTGGTGCTTAAACACTGATCAAATGAACAATACAGTTTTAACACTTTAAATGCAGCATAAAAATCTTTAGAGTTCATGTCCAACAAATTATTAATCATTCAAAGCAATTTATCTTTATATGTCATAGTTTTCATCACAATGCTACTGGAATGTTGTAAGGAATCAATACTCCATTTATTTCAAATCTCTAATACAGGTAACAATTTTTAAAAGTTATCAATTGATATAAAGCCATCCAGTTGACAAAATTAAATATTCACTGGGTAGTTCTACTCTTGACCTGATGTAGTACCCATTATGGCTTCCACTTCCATGGTTTGACTTCTTTTAATCAAATAATATAGTTAAACCTGAATGATACTTCAGTTTCTCAGTACTACAAATTTTTGAGCTGAGAGACTTTAAAAGAAGTTGAAGTTACTTAATCACATATAAATTTACTGACCAAAATTACTAATCATAGGCTGATTAACAAAACACATTTTTTAAAACTATGTACTTAATCTAGGTTTTTTGATCACCTGGTCAGAATATTGAAGTTATGGGATAAACAAGCAATAATGACAACTAATAGAGAAAGGAGGATTTCAATGAAAAAAGCACCTAGGAAGAGAGCAAGGGGCAGGGTCTCCTTTTTTCAACTTTAATCTTTTGAGCAATAACAAATTATTGCTACTGTTCTTATATTAGACCACTGAATAATAACGTAACAGTTAATGTTACTCTTGGACTGGAAGGGGTATAAAATCTAACTCTAGGCAGTCCCTCTGCCAAGGAATGAACCAACACATATCAACCTATTTACCTGCTTAATGATATTGTCTGAGAAAAAAAATTCTAACAATTTATATCAGAAAAAGGTAAAAAATTAAACCTGATGAATTTGCTTTTACTGGGAAAAGATAATATGACCTAATGATTTGGTCAATCTTAAAAGAGTTCAACAGAAATGCTGTTTTATTACTTTCAAACACATACACTATTACCACCACTAGAACTGGCTATGCATTGAAGAATCATAATACTTGCATGCAAATGGGGGTGCTTGATATTTTATTGGTGTTAATGAAAAATGTATTTCCCTTGTTTTTCAGCTTGCTTTAGAAATGATTTTCTTCATATTAAAGAACAGTCACTTCTGTCCAGTAAGTCAAGAAAATTTTAAAAATATAAAATATTTATATCAATGAATTTTTACTGTATTTTAATAAAGCATTTTATGAATCATCCTTGTACCCCATTTCTTTGTAGTTTATTAATGAAAAGTCACTCCCCACATAATACATTGGAACGTCAAACATTCTATATAAAAAAAGCATCAGTTTTGAAATGTTTTAAGATAAAAAAGCACCTCAAGATGTATTTCCATTAATATATCTCAAAATGCATTAATGGAGATACATTAATTGGCCAATTTATGGAGATTATACATGCAAATAAATATACATATAAACAATGAATTTATAGAATCTTACCACTCACAGATGCAATAAAATACTTGAAATTTTCCAGCAAAAGACCCTAGTTTTTGCAAAGGATTTTCAGAGCAACATACCATGCTTAGTTAATTTCTACTTTTCTTTTTGGTATTACCCAAAATTCTTTCCAAACACTTCTTAGGAATCAAGTATCTTAGGCAACAATATTTTCCAAAGTAATTTCTTTATATCTACACGTCCCTTCTCTTTCTGTATTTGTAAAGTAGAAACGTGAACCACGTCGGGACACATTTCCCTCAAATACCTCCACACACTCATCAGCACCTAACCTTGGAGAGCCACAGGTTTTTCATCCATAAAATAGAAACTTGAAAGGACATCTTTTGCTTTGATCTTTTAAATCAAAGAAAATAATTCCATAAAAGGTGACTTTAGAAAAACTATCCTTCCTCTTCCCTTATTTAGAAAGTGTACTCCTTTAGAGTTGGCCTCTACTTCTACATCTCGTATGTTTCTGTTTGAAATTAGATTTAGATCAAATCTGAACAAAACCCACATTGAATTATTGTAAACACAATGGACAAGTCACTGATGAGTTGATTTTCTTTAAATGCATAACTAATATTCTCTTCGTAGGCCTCATGAGCATGTTAAGTAGGATTACTTAGAATAGTATTTCGCTGACCGGCCAAGCACATATCAAAGAAATTCTTTCCATCACAGGCTTCGTCCGGCCTACTGAAAGAATGAGGGCTGCTTTCTCTCTACTGCAGTTCTGAACACCCACCTCCGCAGGACCCAGTCATATCACCTTCCAAAGCGGTGTGTCATGAATGAAACAAACACACGTTTTTATGTTTGCGTAACTATTCCTTAGAAAATTTTAAAAATTAATAAACCCCATGTCTTCTCAAGCTGGAGATGCAAAACTTAAACATGTTTTGCTTCTAAATGCCAAACACTGCATTCGAATCACCAGAGGTAAAAAATCTGTTATCAATATAGTAATAAAACTACCCTGTCTTCAAGGGATATGGAAGTTTTACTGAAAACCCCGTTACCTTCAACATCCCTATGATCCCAGTGGCCAATGTTAAGGGATAGTGAAGAACAGCAACAGTACTGATGCAACACGGGGTCGAAGACCACAAAAGGTTTTATGCTATTGATAAACCAACAACTCAACCTTTAAAATCTCTCATGGATAGCACTGAAAGGATTCCTACAAATATTCATGTACGACTTAATTCAGTATTTGTCTACTTCTACTCTTTACTTATCCTAGAAATCTAATACATTCACACCACTCTGCAACCACTAAACAAGAGAATGAAACTAGACTAAATGTAAGTGCTAATAAACTGTAAGCTGCATTACAATTTACCTTGAATAGAAGAAACAGTAGTAATAACAGTAAATTTAAAACACTAGTAAAAACTAGTTTGTAAAAATATGTCCAACCGTGGTACCCAATGTATTCTGTCATAGGGCTATAATATTAACATGATATATATCATTTAACTTAACCATTAACACATAATTTTGGAAAACGCATGTATGTATATACACACATCTACCCTCTCCAGTGACACATCATTCGAGAGAACAGCTGGCATGTCCCAGGCTTTCCTCTAAGTTCTCATACTTTACCGTGAATCATAATCACGTGAAGGCCTTTGTTAAGACAGATTGCTGGCTCCCACCTCAGAGTTTATGAGGGAGGGAGGGAAGGAGGGAAGGGGGGAGGGAAAGAACTAAAATAACAGGCAGTTCTAGGGAAGGAGCAGAGATAAAAATGAATTCAGGTGATTTCCCTCCATCCTATACTTGCCATTTCATCTTGACAGTTAGCAAAGACCAAGGAACCAACAGACTTCTCAAATGACAACTCACTTGGATGACGTACAGTCTTTTCATGCTTAAAAGGCTTGATAAACGGTGCCCATTACAAGTTTTAGAAAAATAATATTGCCAGAAACTCTTCAGCCTTTCAATACCCCTATGTGGGACTACTTTCAATGAGACACTGAGTGGGGCATAGAAGGCTAACTAATGAATTTTCCATATTAACAAAGAGATTTAATGCCACCAGTAAAACATGGGTAACAATCAACAAGCAAATCCTATAACATGCAGAAATCCACTCTATAAACAATATGACTGTGTTTGGAATTTGTTAAACAAGTATTAAGTTTTATTTAAATGAAAAGTTTTCCTTTTTAAGTTACTGAGCCATATAAAGGGAAAATATTAATTTTATTAGAATTTCAACAAATGTTGCACAAACAACACATTTTGACAAAATAGTATGGTGGCATAACAAACAAAAAAGAAAACAGCCAACAATGTGTAAAAGAAATATAAGGTGGAAAAATGTTAAACATCTCATGATCCAGTACAGAAACAAGAAGTCTAAACTTAAAACCCAAGGATTTTAAAAAGCACAACCATAAAACAAAAAGTTAATGTTTGTGCTATCCTAACCAGACACATTCTTCAGCAAAACTTTAAAAGGCAGAGTTACATTTTACAGTACTTGATATCATATTTCTGACTTTTTCACAGAAATAGAGACTGGTTATGTCATTCAATCTCAGTTGAAAAAGAAAGTATAAGCACTGAGACCTAAGTATTCCACTAAAATGACAGGTGAGGCGAAACAATTGATTAGTCTTTAGTGCTGTATTTTTCAACAGTAATAAGGCCTTGATTCAACCAAAACAAGTCTTAAACAGTTCAGAATTCTTTTCTAATGCCCAAGGAATGCCTCTGCCCAGCCTGATTGCCATATATGGGAATCAAGAACCTAGTAACAATAGAGCACTCTCGGGGACAAATGTAGGAAAAGACAAAGTAGAGTTTTGATATTTTATAACACGGTAACTTGTCACCATTTCAGACTACCAAATGCCAGAACTTACTTAAAATAAATTATTTAAAAATGCCCCCAACTTTGCAATTTATTTCTAAGTACTGACATACTCATTTTTTTAAACTGACCATATCCGGTTAATACTAGTACTAATCAATTTGAGAACTGTAATAAAATAGTTCAAGAATAGGTCTTTGAATATTTTTCTGTTGTACCTTGATCTTTACACAAAGATGCGTTCTTACTTTTTTGGTAGAGAAGGCTATACAGGAAATTAACCTGGAACTGTTCTAAGGAGATTGTCAACCACAACAGGTTTCTGCATTTCAAGACTGTCATCTTACCAAGATACCAAATTTCACATTTTTAAATGTCTTAAAACAACATAGTTGTGATTTTTATAAACATCAAGAAGCAAAAATTTTAAATGCTTGTTTAAAAAAAGCTAAGCCCTTTGCATTTTGAATATTTGAAATTTATTTACACAATATGCCCAATTCAAACTTAAAATGAGGTATATTTTCTTATATCAAATACCTAGCAAATAATACCATGAACAGCTTCAAATTAAAATAAGTTCACAGGCTTTTTGTTTGTGTTTTGCTTTAACCTGTCACGTACTACCTTGCCACGAGTCTTTGGATGTGTTGTCTAACAAAAAAGAAAGTTGTGTATGAACCACGCTCTGAATGAGAGTTGTAAATACATAAGGTGAAAACATTTTTGTGAATTACAGTCATGATTTTAAATATTATGTAAGTATATGTTAGAGACCATCTACATGTCAACAACTGTAAAAGGGGAGCACTAGAAATTAAATCTTTAAAATGATCTTATGTAAATGCTTAAGCAACTGAATTTTTCATCTGAAAAACCTATGCTGCAAAAATGTGAATCAAAGTTTTGCTTTTTGAATGTATGGGTTGCAACCCACACAAAAAATGAGGAAATATGTTTGGTCAGGACCTTGTTAGTTTAAGAAGCAAAAAATTTAAGAACCAAAATATGCACACCATTAAAAATACTAGTTCTGAAAATTATGTAGCAAAAAATTAGATCACCCTGTCCAGCAAGTTCCAAAAATTTCACACATTTCAAACATTAAGGCAACTTTTTCCCAACTAAACAGTACTTTATAAAAATATATGTCACTTCAAAACATTATATACACAGTGACAATAAATTTAGCTGTTGTAATCTTTAATACATTAATAAAGTGTCACATATTACAAAGAAATTATACCAGGTGCTTCTGTGTGTGTGCAAGTGGCGTTATAGTTCTTAAAGGACAGGTTTTAAAACCGAGCGCAGTGAGCGTCCCTCTTTCGTGAGCTCTCGTGTCACACACATACATGGCAAGGGGATGGCTTCCTCCCGCTTCTCTACAATATTGTAACTGCACTTCTTCAAGTGGTCTGCCATGCTTAGGATGTCAGCAAATTTCCATTCATTAACAGAACAAAACGCAGTACTGAATCGCCATACCTAAAAGAAAATTCTACTTCAGATTTAAACAAATCAATGTACAAGTATCAAAACACACTTCTTGTTCTAACTGTGTACATTTCTACTGCTAGAGAAATATGCAGTATAAAGTTTCAAGTGGTTAGGTACAAAATCGAAGACTAGTAAATCCATTCGGATACAAATCTGCTTATCAAATATTTATAAGACAAATCACTTCTATGACATTAAGACTTCAATAAATGTAATACTAACCAAAAAGAAAATAAAAGGCAAAACCAATGTTAAAAATCACATCCAATCTAGTGTATTAAGCAATTTTTAGAAAATCAAAATCTCATGAATTCAGAACTACTTCCTAAAAATAATACATATGCACACTATTCTTTCATTCTATCCACATAGTCTGGAGAAATGGACAAGTATTATTTTCTTTTATCCAAGTTTTTCTCCCACTCTTGTTACATTATATGAAGCACATCTGAAAATACTATAGAATATGTGCCAAGGTACCTTATCTTTCCACTCTTTATAAGTACTAAAGGTACTTAGTAATATTAAATACATGTACTTCAATTTGCTCAAAACGTTTTTAGAAACATATATAAAGAACTTTTGTAAAATGAATCTTATTTTAATCCACATCATTTTAAAATGCATGTCTTGGCAAAATGTTCACCTGCTATCTCTGTTCATGTGTCTGCTGGTAAAAATATGGGCTACTTCCCCTTTTGGTCACTTAGCAGCTCTAAGCCCTGAAGCATTGTCGTATTAGTCTAGCAATGGCTGTTATGGCCCCCCTGCACCTTTACAAGTCAAAAAAAAAAAAGCTACCTGAACACAGGTAATAAGCATGAATGGAGCAGAACAGACCTAGGTAACAAGTATGAATGGGGCAAGACAAAGCCTAAGCATTCTAGCTAAGCTCATCAGTGGGGAATGCTAGTTAGAGAACACAGAATACATGGTAATACAGTGCTCTAGAAAGTAGCAGTGGATTTGAGTGAGGCCCTCAGTACTCAGTAGAGCTTCTCAGGAAAGAATGGTAATGACTTCTGCAGTGGCCAGAAGCCTTCAAAATTCTATGTGAACAGAACTGCTTCTCAGTGGGCAACAGAAGTCACCACAGTTCAGTACATGGGGTACTTACTTGTTATACTCCTGAGGGTTATACCATTTACCTTAGATGGAGTCATTGCCCAGGAGTCAGTGAACGTCTAGAGGATAGCTACCAATGGGCATTATAGATTACAATTCCCCATACCCATGAAACTATGGGAAGAATTAGGAGCTCTTGTTAAGCTTCAGCAGAATGCTAAAGTTAGATAACAGATTCAATGGTGGCAAACAACCTTCCTCCTTCCACACAGTTAAGAGTCTGGTGAAACGAATGCAGGAAAAAAATGGATGGCCCCCATCTCCTGATGACAAAGTTTCTTAGTAATGGGCCAATTTTTCATTCAAATATCCATTAAGTACTTAGTAACTTACAGTCTAATGAAAGAAACTGACAACTTTGTGAATTTCAACAGCATGGTGAATGCTTTAGTAGGGATGTATAAAGTAGGGGTATTTAATGGGGCACAAGAGCACAGAGCAGTGAACCTCCCTCAACCTTTCAGAGTGGGGTTCTAAAACGCTTAATTCAAGGAAGCTAAGATCTGAAGAGTAAGTAGGATACAGCAAGGTTATGAAGATCACAAGCTTCAGAGACAGGTTACCTAGGTCTGAATCCATAGGTTAGCTGGATAAGTTACTGAACCTCTTTAAACCTCAATTTCTTCTTCCATAAAAGGGGAACAGATTAAATAAATTAATGAAAGTAAAATGCTTATTAGCCCACTGTCTAGCATACTGCAAGTGCTCAAATGTAGGTATTAGGGACAGTACACTCAAAGGCCTTAGGCAAGAAAGAAAACATCAGGCAACTGTAACTAAATCAAGGACTGGCATAGAAAGGGACAAGAGGAAACTAAAGCGGTGGGGGCAAGATCATAAAAAATCTTAAATGTTTCATGAAGGAGTCTGTCTCTATCCCAGGACAATGGACAAACATTTAAAAAGTTTTTAAGCACTGCAGTATAAGAACTGTATTTAAGAAAATGTCTGTCGCCCTAGTTCTTACGTAGAGAACATGTTGAAGAGGGACACACCTGAATGAGAAACCCAGTTAGGAGGAGGCTACGGCAGTAATCCGGGAGAGAACTAAAGGCAGGACTGAACTGGGGAAATATTAATGGAAACAGTAAAGCAAACCTGGGAGGTTTGAAGGAGAGAGACATAATAGCAGTTTGTGATTACCACAATATAGAAATAAAGGGGGAACGTGGGTGTCCACTCTAGCTCCCAAATTCCTACTTTAGGCAATTTGATAAAAGACAATGCCACTTTCTGAGATTAGGAGAGAAAGAGAAGTGGAGTAGGTTGGACATGCCAAGTTGGATGAAGCTGTGAAATAATCTAGTGGAGATATCCAGTAAACGCTTGCACATAATGGTCTGGATGGAGTTCTAAGAAAATGGCCAGGATAGAGATGTGTTAGTAATAAATGAAAGCAATTTAAACTCCACGAGTAGATAAGATTTTTTGCAGGAATAAAACCCCAGAAAATATCTCACCTCACAGGTCAATACCAGTTGGCAAGGACAAAAAGCAGCCAAGAGGCCATACTCAGAGTCCCATCCCAAATGGGAGAAAGACAGCAAATCATCTGGAAAGTGAAAATATACACATGCACACGCAGCAAGTACTAAAAGTATGAAGTTTTCTGCCACCAGAATTCCCTTTGGGGAAAAAATCATAAAATAATTATTGTTCATTTACAGATCAAAGCCTTAGGAGAACACAGGAGGAGAAGTAGAATTCTGAAAACTGGAGCAACAAGTAGAAGTAAGAGAAAACCTAAAGATGGCAAAGCAAAGTAGCCAAAAACTTTGAATCCCAATGTGAAGTTTATACAAAATTTTCTTGTATAAAATGCAAGGTTTTGAATTACAGTTCTGAAATGAAAACACCTACAATCAAAGATATCTGTAATACCTTCTATTTTCTATTGGAGAGTGCCTCAAAAAGAAGCTGGGCAAAAGTAGGGTATCACAGGAGAAAAAGGGTGGAGCCAGGATTTGTTCCCAGGTCTGCCTAAATCCCAGCTCAAGCTTTCAATATGCAACACTCCCTCTTACCGTACTACGCCCAGAGTCCCCACCAACAATAGCAAATCCTATTGCCCCTACTCTTATCTCACTCTGACCTAACACATATCCACATCCATCCATTTACGTCCACCTGCCCCCAAATACTCCATTGGTCACTTACTAGTAACAGGTGCTTATAACTTTTTCTCATCTCTCCTGATTTAGGTTCTACCTGAAACAAGCAAGTCCTAAGAAAGAAACTGCCAAGAATGAAAAGAAAATGCCAATTGTAAGCAGTTAAAAAATCTCCTTTTTGCTTTCCCCACTGTCTGATGGTGAAAATGTTTCAGATGGAGTCCAAATCAGGTGGTTAACATGGTCACAAACAAATGTTGTTACAGAAGACCTAAGTGGATACAGAACTGCTCAACTAAAGAAACAGAAGTGGCCTCTGCCATATTAGATTAGAATCTAGTTCTAGGATGACTGCAGTAAATATGTGATTATGACAAACAATTCTAACTATCCTAGTTTTTCATTAATTAGCATTTTTAAAAAATAGTATGTTGTCATATTAAGTTTTTAAAGATGGTCAATATAAAAAAATTTAATTTTATTAATTCAGCAAAATTATTAAGTGCCTATTATATGTCACATAAGGAGATGATACAGTTAAAATTAAACTAACCTTTTCTTTTATCTGCCATGATGCATTTCCTTCTGGATACTTCCTTTTCCCCCACTGCAGTATGACCATTCCACGAGACTGAAGCAGGCTGCCACACACATCCCTCATTAACTTGGATACACATGAGAGCTGGCATAGACTGAAGCCATCAAGAAAGCCTGCAATATGCTGCAGAACCTCAAAAGGAAGACCACTGAGGTGGTCACTATGTAATCCCAAAACACAGTTTCTAGCAGGCTCTACTAATACTGTAGATACACAAGGCTGAACTCCAAATGACCTCAAATGGCGATCATGTATAATCTTTGCTCCTTGTGTTGATGGACAAAACCTACGCTGAGAATAGGTACAGCCATAATATGCTAAAGGACACCTCTGTTCCATCCAGCCATTGAGTCCAGCATGAATGTCACCATGCACATTCTTAAAATGTGAAGAAAATTCTCTTCTTCTAAATAGCTGTCCACAAACAAATGTAAACATTGAACGCTGCTTGGGTTGGTACCTAGCGACACATTCCAATACTAAATCCAGCCCAAGTGTCTGAAAAGGACTTGGATTTGAAAGCTGTGGGTTGGCATGATCGCAAGCTGAAGCGGAAGCTATTTCCCCAACCATCGTATTTGTAGCTAATATTGCAGACGGAAGTGAAAAAGTCTGAGTTCCAAAGTCAATGTGGTAAATGTCAACCATGCGACTATCTGATATACCCCTTCCACCTGGAGAATCTCCTAGACAAAACAGTAATGCTGCTGTGATGAGATCTATTCCTTGGAGGCCCATTGGATCTTCTGCAACTTCCAAATCTGATGTATCTACTGCTTTGTCTTCCTTCGGTTTAGACCAACATGAATTAGAAAGAAATTTGAATGGAGATTGACTAAAAGATAAGACATCTACATTCCTCAAGTCCCCTAAGTCTACTTTCCTCCGACACAATTCTCCTCCACCCTCGTCACCTGGCATGAGGATATGCTGAACTGTGCCGTTAGGCAAAGCATTAGGCGGTATTACTTCCCTAAGCTGTGCTGCTACTGACAGTGAACTGGAAGGTTCTGAAGTGCCATCTGATGCTACACATTCTCCATTTCTTAAGTTATTTTCCTTTGAATCACCATGTAAATTCTGATTCCGGTCTATGACCTGCGTACATACATTTTCCAAAGGAAGGCCATTACAAAGAGCAGAAGTGCCATAAGAACTGGTATTTGAGTCACATAATAAATCACTTGAACCGTTTTGTTCAGACTGGGCATTCTGACTTGTGTCGTTACAGCCAATTCCACCTACTGCTCCTATCTCATCCTCATAAAGATGGTCCTGGTCTTTCAATTTCCTATTCTGTGAGCTTTCTCTGGCATTTTGCTCTTCATTCATTTCACTTGCGGAAGCACAAAGACTTGTACTTAACATGCCAATGTCCCTTGTGGCGGTGTTCAGGATATCTAAAGCAGCAGCCAAGCTTCTGGTTGTTTCTACAGTAGCTTGATAAAGTGCACCGTAAGATTCTTCATCAACAGACACCAAACCATTAGCATGTGGTATCTCTGGAACAGTTGATTTCACTGATATTTGTTCTCTAGGATCTGATACTTTATCAGTCGCTTTTGACATCATGGTGGCTACTTTGAGAGATTCTAAGAGCATCCTTTGGTCTTGAAGCGCCAAGGCCATGTCTAATTGTGCTACTTCATCAACATCTCTGCTTAGATTTTCGTATGACTTCCGATCTGCATAACTAACTGGCCATCGGTTCCACTCCATTGTACAGCACACCACACTTGCAGGACATGTTTCTAGATGTTCAGCAACTTTATTTCGAGCCATTGTAAATGGACATCCAAAGTCACTATTTAAGCAAGGTACTCGCTCAAATGGACATAAAAGTCGATGCTCATCAGCTTTACAAGAATGGAAGACTGCTCCACAAACCAATGGACAACCAATCAAGTCACAGGAAATCCCAGGCTCTGGTCTGGTCATACACCGTCTACTGACACAATTCACACAGTGCGAATGCTGCAGCTCCTCCTCCATAATGGCCGGTCCAGCTCTGGTTGCTAAGATGGAAAAAAGATAAGTTAGGCAAAAATTGGTCAATTTTAAAAATCAGTAATAACCTTAAATATAAATGGATTAAAGGCTACAATCAAAAGACATAGGGTAGCTGAATGGATAAGAAAACAACACCCAATTACATGCTGTCTACAAGAGACCCACCTCAGAACAAAAGACTCACACAGGCTGAAAAAAAGAAACAAAGAAAATCCCAAAAAACTTCTGGAGGACTTTAAAGGAGAGATTGACAGCAATATAGTCATAGTAGGGGACTTTAACACCCCACTGACTTTACTGGATAGATCTTTCAGACAAAAAAAAAAAAAATCAACAAGGAAACAGTGACTCTAAATGACACACTAGATCAGATGGATTTAATTGACATTTACAGAACATTTCACCCCAAAGCTGCAGAATATGCATTCTCCTCAGGTGCACTTGGGACATTCTCAAAGATAGATCACATGTGAGGACACAAAACAAGGCTCTACAAGTTCAAGAAGAATGAAATCATATCAAGTATCTTCTCAGCCAGTTACACCATGGAGTACTATGCAGCTGTGAAAAAGATGGATCCCTTACCCTATGAGACAGCACGGTGGCACCTGGAGAGTATTATGCTAAGCGAAATAAGCCAGTCAGAAAAAGACAAGTACCACACGATCTTACTCAAATGTGGAATCTAATGAACAAAATAAACAGATGAACAAAAGAGATCCAGAGACATAAAGCATGAACAGACTGACGAATCTCAGAGGGAAGGCAGGGGTGGGTGAGTTGGTGGGTGGGGAGAGAGTAACCTAAGAATTTATATGCATATTATGCATAATCCATGGACACAGACAACAGTGTGGTGGAAGCCTGGAGGGGGTGCAAAGTGGAGGGGATCAATGGGGGAAAAGGGAACATCTGTAATACTTTCAACAATAAAGATAAATTTTAAAAATAAAAAATTATTATTTGATAATATAAATCAAAGCATAAAGGTATATTGGCTTACTTTATAATGAAATATATAAAATAAACATTTAATGGATTTATGTTACATATAATCAATCCATCTTGAAACATAAGTACTTCCAGTAACAATTCAGAAATTTAACTAAAATGTCATAGAAGTTCATTTTTATATTGCAGATAGGCAATATGTTTACAAGGCCAAAAGTTTCAAATTTAATACTTAAATCCTGGTATACTGGGTAATAAATAAACTAATGCCAAAATGAATTTAATGCATATTTAACTTTTAGATTTCAAAGAATGCTTTATCTTTTACCTTTTTAATTTCAATTAAACTGATTTTGATGTACCCCACATTGCAGAGACCTCATCATGTTTCTCAAGGAGAATAATCTGAATTTCACAGAAATAGTTAACTCTTTATTAGAAGTTTTCTTTTTATTCCCTCTAAATACATGAATTTAAGATTTCATCTATTGATCTCTTTCTATAATACCTTAATAAATTCTACAACAAATCAGTAAGTAAGCCGTAATTAAAGCATACAGAGAATTTACCCAGAAAATATAAATTCTAGCTCCATTTCTATGGCTGTGGGCAAATCACATCTCAGGGCCAGAGTTCCCATTCATTCATTAAAATAAACATTTATTTACTGTTTAACATATCAGACTGTGTTTGGTGTGGCAATACAAAGATTAGTAAGACACGATACTTCCTCTCAAGCAGCTATAGCAGGAGGTCAGAGACAGTAAAAATCATGTCACATTATTATGTGATCAGTATGAGAGAAGTAAAATGGTAACACAAGAAGACAATAATCAGTAATGGCAAGGACTAGAGAAGTCACAGGAGTCTTGAAAGAAGAGAAGTCTTATGGGGTGTGGGGTGGTGTTGGGAAGGAGGGGAGGCATTCAAGGCTGAAGTAACAGCATAAGCAAATGCAGAAAAGCAAGGATTGTCAAAACATGTCCAGGGAACTTCAAGCTTCCTAGTGCTGCTGGTTCACAGGGTAAAATGCAAGGTGGCTGCAGAAGATGAGGTGGGACAGTGACGCAAATCATAAAGAGCGCGCTATATGTTACTCTAAGGAATTAAGACTTTAATTTGAAGTCACTAAGAATTTTAAACAAAGAAATTGTACCTATAAAATAATATGAGGGGATTACAGATACCTAATGGTCTTTCCTGCCTTTATCAAATTTTATATAAAAATAAGAGAGAGCATCCGCACAACATATTGATTTAATTACTGGGCCTATTTGATGTCTTTTTTCTGTAATATTCAATTTCTTTATTGGCTTATTCCTATTAGCATAAAAACTTAAAAGACTATTTTTATCTTTAAAAACCTAAATAATAAAGCAACATCCCCCTTTGCTACTATTCTTTTTTTCCTATTCAGTTAACCTTTCAGAAGAAAAACAAAAAATTCACCAAAAAACCCTCTAATCTCCCCAATACTCTTTGGCCCTCTAATCTGGCTTTTATTTTCACCACCACCCGTGATGCCTGCGCTGCTCAGATGCTCAGTGCGAAATCCAAAGGGCATTTTTTTCCAGGTCCCATCTTCCTTGGGCATTATCATTATGTTGACTAATTCCTCCCTTTAAACTATTATTTTTTTCTTAGCTCTCATGGTGTCATGTTCCCCTGGTTCTCCCTGCCTCTTAAACTCTTCTAAGCTACTATACTCTTCTTTGGGGCTCATGGCGTTTCTACTCACTCTTCTACACATTCTCTCCCTGGGTGCCCTCAATTTCTCAAAAGCTTCCATTACCACAAATATTCTCAAAACTCATCTATATCTCCTGCCCAGATCCCTCTTCCAAACTTCAGATCTCTCAGCTAACTACTTATTATACATCTCTATTTGTACATGGCACAGGCAACTCATCTCAACATTTCCCAAGTTGAATTACTCTGTAGTAGATGATAATTTTCTGGATAAGATGCTGATTATCAGCCTATTTTCTTCACTTCAGTGCATAAACTGGCTCTCTGATATATTTTTCCATGAGGTATCTTGGTTCCAGGTGGCTAATGTAAACTGTTACTCCCCAAATTGCTATTTCTTTTTCTCCAGTCCAAGTTTGATTTTCTTCAAACTAAAATAACAAAAGTTTACCTATTCTTGATAGAACTTTTGTTGAGCAAGTAGAAAAGTTATGAGTTGATATTATGGTGCTTAATGATACTGGGGGTGGGGGACACACACGTTTATCAACGAAACTGTATTTTTTAAACTGTGTTTAATTAAAAGTTCTGAGTTAAATGTACTTTTAAATATTTAACCCTATAAATTTTGTAGGTAATGACAGAACCTATAAATTAAAAGCAGACATGCTAAAAGAGACATAATAGAAGAAATGACAGACTAATCATGAAAAACATTTGTAAATTAAACAGAAATTTAAAAAGAAACTTTATTAAGAATTAAGACAAACTTTATTGAGTGATTAGATTGTGAAAACAGCTGTAGCTTTCTTATTTTGCAACCAGACTGAGTTCATCTCACATGCTGAAATAAGCTTGACTGTTACTAAGAGAGTAACCTAAAAATACAAGCAGTTCCAAAAGTGACCACTGCTCTCAGAACTTGTAGGAACACTTTATGTTATGTACAAATCACATGATCACACCAGACAGAACACAACTCAAAAAACGTCACTTAATTCAAGTGTTTAAAATAGTAACTGTTACAAACAACTGAGTTAAATGCAAAACAGCAACTCTTAAAGAAGGCTCTCAAGCTTCAAAATAAGCAGCCTTTGCATACTATTCTATTCTGAATAAGAAAATGTTAAAAAATGAAAATAAAAACAGTCCAAAATTATTTATTATTCATTGAAGTACAGAGAAGAAAAAAGGAACACGAATTATGTGCTCATTTTGTCCTTTACATAAGTTTTGTCACTTAATGTCACAACCCTTATAACAACCCAGAGGAAATGGGTTCAGAAAGGCTGAGAGGCTTGCCCGAAGTCCTCTGCCTACTAAGTGGCAGAACTAGAATTGAAATCTATATCTGGTCAGTGCACATGGGCAATAACAGGTTTGTTTACTTATAAGAGGTTTAAGAAAATAAGGCAGCACTTCGGTAACTGGTGATCCAATTTTAAGATGTTATTTGAGGAATGGAGATTACGACTTTGCTTGTAGTTTATTCCAACACAACCACCCCTGTGGTCAAGAACTGATGCGCCCTGGCTAGTGTGGCTCAGCTGGCTGGAGCATCATCCGGCACACTGAAAGGTTGTGGGTTCGATTTCCGGTCTGGGCACATATCTAGGTTTCGGGTTTGATCCCCAGGGCACGTACAGGAAAGCAACCAAACCACGTTTCTCTCTCTTAAAAAATAAGTAAAAAAATAAGTAAATAAAGAACTGAATGAGACAGAGAGATGATCCTGCCGCCTTTTCGGTCCTTTCTAATAGCATATTACTTTGTTTTGCATATAGGAGTTTTAAATTACTTAATGAATAACTTACATTCATAATGCTCTCTATTAACATATGGAATATAAATGTAACAATTCTCAAAATAGTTAAAGAAAAATCAAGTTTAATTCCATTTTACTATTAAATATACTAAGAAATAAGAAAATGCACTAGATAACACCCAAAGAATGTTCTGGGGATATAAACCTCAGCTTCAGAACCTTAAACTTCCAGATCTATCCTCTTTCTAACCAAGGTCATTATTATCAAGTAAATATGCTTCACACTGCTCATAAATCCCGTGAAACAGGGTTAAAAACGCCAATCCCTGATTTATCAGTTGAACAGTGACACAGCAGGCCCAGGAGAAAACAAGTTGCTAAAACTGAGGCTTCAGAATTGAGGTTTCAAGTTCAAGATGAGCATAATTTAAAACTCCTCAATATTTTTTTTTTAAAGGACTCTCTAGAAAAAGAATCTTAACATTTCCAAACAACTGGAAAAGTTTCATTACACCAGAAAATAGCTGTAAATGATTAAATGCTTTACAGTAGTTTCAATTTTCTCTAACAGAAATTCTTGGCCAACTCATACTCTGCAGCTGACAAACAATCCATAAAAATAGTTTTAAGACATGGCATTTTCCCATACGGTGAAATTAGGCCTTGTCATTTAAGGCTATTTCTAGGCTTAAAAG